AGACACAGGGAGTGTTTAAGTCTTCACATCGCGTTGGCCTGGTATTCCAAGCATGAATGTAATGTTTATGTTTTTTTCAGCCTTTACAATGCATTTAAAGCCAATCTTTGATTGCCAAATATGTCAGCCAGAAGCTCTGGATTTGGCATAGTCTTCTGCTTACCCAAAGGAAGGTGCAGCTTGGGCAACAGTGGTATGAGTGTCCCCATATTGAATCTTTCAACCCTTAGCCTGCCCATAGACTCATCACAAGAAGTGGTTTGTGAAGATCTTAAGGTGACTCTTATGCTGCCTCATACGCCCATTGCCAAGAGCCACGACATGAAGACGTCCCTTCAGTCCCTATGTCTTCCTGACCCTAAAGCCTACAAGACTGTGGGGTTGATTGTCCTCCCATGCCCAGCGTGTTGAGCTTCCCTGGTGTACACCTCTGCTGCCGCTTGGCCTGGGTGCCTCTGCACCGTTAGCTGCAGCGGTGCTGTGCCATGTGCATCGAGACTGTGGCCCTACACCCTGGGCAGCCACAAAGCTTGTCTCTTCTTGGTACCCATCCAGGTGGCAGCTCGGGCAGTGCCATGTCCGTCGCCGTGCGGGCTGCCAAGGACCTGAAGGAAGGTCAGCGCTGCGTTGTCATCCTGCCTGACTCCGTCAGGAACTACATGTGAGTTTCTTGCTTCCTCGACTGCTTTCCGGCAGCAGGGCGGGAGCTCCTATAGCCTTCTCTCCACTCTCTCTGCATATGGCCCGGCCTGGGGCCATGGGGCCCTTCAGTGACATGAGCTTAACATTGCTGAGCCCAAGTGGTGTGGGTTGCTGGAGAGCCACCCTAATAACTCCAATAGCATGGCAGCTGGAGAGAGCCCAGAGCTCACTTGAGGGAGTCTCCCCTCAAGCAGCTCACAGTAGAGAAAAAAAAAACCCACAACAGGGAGAAATAGCGTAGTACTGCGGGGCAAGCAGCAGGGACTGGGTGTTGGGACACTTGGGTTTTATTTCCTCTTGTCACTGACTTACTGCACGGAGCAGGAATCAGTCAAGCTACAGTTTTTGAACTTGCATGCCTACAGTTAGGAAGGCAAATAGCTGGCATGCTTCTAAGAGCTACTGAGCACCCGCAGCTCCCGTTGACCTTAAAAGGGACTAAAAGCAGCCAGCTGCAAAAATCATGGGAGCCCCGGGGCAGTGCTGCGGTCTAGTGCATGAAACAAAGCACGACTTCTTCTGGAAGGCTCACAGACTCACTCTTTGTTGGTGATTTCTAGGTCCAAATTTTTGAATGATAAATGGATGATAAAAAATGGTTTCCTAAATGACGTCCAGGAGCACAAGCCTTGGTAAGACAAAGTCCGACGATATAAACGGTGATAAGGGAATCAGCATTCTCAGTCTGGAAATGATTCTCTTCAAAGGAAAGTATTATCTTTTAGTATTTAGAAAAAAAGCAGTTAAGTCTGGATCCCTCTGGGGAGGCTGTAATGTCAGCTCCTCTCTTTTGAGTAATTAGGTATCCTGGTTCTCCAACCAAAGTCTATAAAGGAGCCGTTACTGTCTCGAAGTTGCCAATCTGCTCCCATATGACAGTCATTGTCCAGGCCACCTAAACCCCACCAATCAGAATGGCTGAGGGGGACATCTAGCTCCACTCAAAACCTCCTCTCTCTACTCCACAGCTGACGTTCAAAAGAACATCAGGCCGATGGGGAGATGGGTCCCTCCTGTAGCACGTACCCTTTCAAACAGCTCTGGAGGTCTTTTCAGGGAGGGAACTGTAAATTTTCACTTTCCAGAGCTGTGAGCCAGAAAAGATGATCAACTCAGCTGTCTCTTGCACACCATGAGGAA